CTAGCCTGATGTTACCTTGTCATGTAAACTTAAAAGTCAACGCATTATTCCTGTTACACTCACGTTGCAGCAGCGATACCTTCTACTGACATCGAAACGTACAAGACTCAATGTTTAATTAGCTACCCTACCTATAACAACTTAGCATATTTTACACTTAGGCTGGTTACCTGTGTAGTCTAACCGCTAAGACATAAGTTGATTGTTTTAAATGCTCGGTCATAAGCATCTGGCTCCCCCCGGAGGTTTGTGCCTGGGCCCCACACAAATCACTATTGTAAACTTGCCAACTCGCACTAGCCTGTAAGGGTACCTAGCTATATAAGCCTGTAAACCTCATGTAATTACCAGACAGATCGACGAATAGACCTAACTTGTCCGAAGCTTAATACTACACTTTAAGTCGATGTTATATTGCTTTAAATGATCCAACCTGTTTATATTATAAAATTGTGCCTGTTAAACAAATACCCCGCATGTTAAGCGAGGGAAATGCCTGAGGACTGTGATCGGGGCACCTCAAGATTGCTTGTAATAATTCTATGCACTGCAAAAATAAAAAAAATGTAAAAAATTAATAATAATTTAATATTTAGAATCACATAAATGCCAGTTTACACAAGCTGACAATAAATGCCACTCAATGGCAGCATGAGGCTAGATCTATTCTGAGTTTCTTAGACAGATAACAATCTACGGTCTACTGTTTCTCCAAAGAATCATGACCCCTAAAGGACATGTTTTCTGGCATACTTATAAAGGACACCTAACAGTGAAATGTATATTATTGGAAAAATAATGCAATCTATGTGTGCTGGAGACATCATAAAAAACAACCAGTCCAAAGGTCAAGTGGTTTATGAATCTCCAGAACCCTGAGATTAACCAATGCAGGCTTCACTGTTATGGATCATTTGCATTGCACATGTTTTTTTTAAGTTTGAAGTTAGTGCTAGTGTTAGGATCAGGGCTAGGTCTAGAATTTGTATTAGGGTTAAAAATAGAGTTGGTTCTGAGATTATCAAGACATTCAGATACTGGACTGTCAACATTCGCATGTTGTGCTCCCAGGTACCATCTGCTATTTCCCTTAAATAGTGTGTATGTAAACAACTAGTGACACGAGATTCCTTTGATTAATTTTCAAGAAAGTAGCAAGTACAAAAAAGGGTGATGTGCAACATTAATCTCTTGGGGTTGGCAAGGTAGCAATTGGCTAATACCTTACCAAAGAGAAATAGGGTAAAACATTTTGTAATTCACCTTGTGGTGTATATTCATCTCAAGTAGTAGATCAGATATTATTGATCTCTGATAAAAGAACTTGATAAGAATCCATATATTCCATCAACTACCTATATTCCAAAAGAATAGAGGATCGTGAGAATAAACTGAATGGCTACAAATGTATTTGGCAAAGATACAGACAGAAGTTCCCAGTAAGAGAGACTTCTTGCTCATATCAGTTGGACATGATGGTACTCCAAAACAGTTTACTGATATTGGACAAAACCTGAAGAATCCAGTATTAATATTATTGTTAAAGTATTAAATAATTATCCAGTAATTCATTACACTATTTTGTTAAGGCTAATCGCTAATATTATGTGAAAGACGTAGGGGCAGCATTTAAGGGTGTCCCCTGTCCATGAAAGACTGTTATAAGTAATAATTTTAGCATCCTGTACTAAAGTAGTCTAATTGAAAATATTCTCCTAATCACTTACATTTCCAGTTTAGCTATCTTGGCCGAAAATTTGTAATACGGCTTACAATTCTCTAATATTCCTGGTTAAGAAAAACTATTTGTCACATTTATGAAAAAGATAGCATTACATAAGAAATAGTATTTCACTTATTATTTCAAAAGCAACATTTTAACACATATGTATTGTTTATAATTATTATCATATTTATATAGCGTCAACTTATTCCGCAGCGCTTTATAATATTATAAGAGGGGGGAATCTAACAAACTATGAGACATTTACAAAATGATAGAGAAACAATTGGAAGATGAGAACCCTGCTCAAAAGAGCTTACAGTCTACAGGATATGTAAAAACACAATAGGGCAGCAAGGGGGACATCAACCAAACAACGTGGGAAAGTAGCAGAACTGGAGGTGAAAGTGTAGCGTGGCTCTTTAGGAGAGAGCAAGAGACAGGTATGTGACATAGAAGTTACTATGGGAGGCCATAAGCATTTTTGAATAGATGGGTTTTGAGGGACATCTTAAATAATTGAAGACTAGGGTAGAGTCTGATGGGGGTAGGCAGGCTGTTCCAAAGAAAAGGAGCCGCCTGTGATAAGTTCTGCAAGTGCGAGTCAGCAGTAAGGCAGCGAGCAGCGGACAGGTCACCAGATCGAGAATGGGCATATCTACCAATCAGTAAAGAAATGTAACAGAAATGGCTAGAGTTATTTAGAGCTTTATAGGTAAGGGCTAGTATTTTGCGTTGACACCTATTGGATACAGGAAGCCAGTTTAAGGATCGACAGAGGGCCCGAGGTGTGGGAGAAGTGACAGGTGAGAAAGTACCTGTAATAATAGTTGTGCCTTGTGTTTGGGGTTATTTGCGTAATATATGTGTGCACGGTATGTCTCATTAGTGAGATATTCAATTTTAATATATTGAATACCCAGTGAAAAGAATCTTTTTTTTGTATTCGAAAAATGAACCTTAACTTACCTTCTAAAATTTTGTCAAATTTCACAATTAAAAACTAAGGCACAGAATGCAGATTACAATTTTTCTGTAGTGATAAAAATTATCCTGTTCTTTGTTTTCAATGTTTAACCCACGTTGATACAAAGTGTAGGCAGGGGTCTAAATAACTGAGGAAAGTTTGACCCTGAATTAACGTGTGCCTGGCAGCCCCTTTGTGCGGACCAGTTTTACATATACCACAATACTACATGCTGACCCTCTAGTCCCAGCTGCATTTCTTAATTCACTTTACTTCTAGTTACACAGTCTTATTATCGAAAATGCCATGAACTGCTTTGTTATTACCAAGGAGAACGGAAAAATATATATGCAGAAAATTGCAATTCTTTATACATTTGCCATTTTTTTTTGCGAATTAACATCTAAAACCCTTGAACCAGGTCACGCTTGAAAAAATATTGTCTCACAAATTGCTCTGTGTTTGGCTTGAATTCCATTTGTTAATTTTGTAAACAGTGCTGCTTCCATTTCCCAGTGACGTGATACTGACAATATGCATCTAATCCTGTCGAAAAGGAAGGATTGGGTTTCACACTGCTTTAGGACACTTCTCGAATCTATCATTACCTCAAGGGTTTTGGTGAAAAGCCATTGTCAAACGGAAATATTGTGAAATGCCGACCCTGGGGCAGACTTACTGTTTGATCATGTATGCTGTTAATAACAATAACATACAGATGTTAAACAACGGGGTGGAGGGTGAATAAGGAGAAAAAAAAGATATAATTTTCCATTTTTTAAATCAATGTTTCCAAGATTATTCTGTTTAAAACTCGTATCCCTGCGCCAAAAAAAAGAGCAACCTTAAAGTGGAGCTGTCATCCTTTCAGCTTCATACAAGTTAAAATAGAATCTATACATTGTATCAACTAATCCCCACAATATATAAAGCATAGAAATGTGAGGTACAAACTTAAAGTGGTACTACTGCAGAGAGAATTTACTTCCAGTATTAAATGCATTTTTTGGCTGATGCTTTTAAAAATATTTTGCATTTACATACATAAAAAATAAAGTACTCACCCACACATACAGCCTCTGCATACCTTCCCCTGGCAGGGCCCCACACCCCTCTCACGAATATCACGTCGTGAGCTGCAAGAAGTCCCAAATGGTTGGGGGTATGAGAATATCAAAGACATAGGACACTCACAGATACCGATCAGGTCGAATTGCGCTAGATAATGGGCATACCCACAGCTCTCAACTATTGTGTGATCTGTAAACACGAAAATAGGTAATGTTATACTATTATGGATGTCTATCACTGAATTGGTGCACTACAAACAACTGTTTGACTTCCCACCCTTTTTTCCTTCTGTAAACCCCACC